AGTACATAATATTTGTTTCAGAATGTTTGGTATTAATAAAGTGTCAATATCAACACAGGAAAGAACTTCAGAACTTACACTGGGCTTATTCCAGAGGTTCTAAATAAACTTTTCCTCTATTTCTGACGTCAGTGAGAATCATATCTAAGTAAGGACTGAGAAAAAACTAATTAAAGACCTTTGCATCAGTTCAAAAATATATGAGCCTTGCAAAATTCCACATGCCCACTGGATATGGATTTAGTTTTGGGGGAGCAGGGGAAGAAAGGGGATGGGCATGTTCTTTTTTTTTTTTTAAGTTCATGATTATAAGAAGAAGGAAATTTGTGTCTAGGCTAGCCACTTTTTGTGATAATTTTACAAGGCTGATACATAGCTATTTTTTTTTTTAATCTTGACAGTGCCTTGTTAAGTTTCTATTCAGTCTGTATCACAAGTGACAGAAATATAGCAAATAATAAATACACAAAAATTCCTAGGTGAAATTCTGGCCATATTGAAATCAGTGGGAATTTGCTACTAGCTTTAATGGTCCCAGCATTTCACTCCCTAACTCTTCTTTCTTGAAGACCAAAAGGACTAGGTAAAAAGCTAACAGCACTTATAGAACAGGCTGACAAGTATTTCCATATCTTGCCCATACGCTGATTGTGCTCAGACTATAAAAACTCTTTCCATAGAAGACATACATTGCAAGACATTCCATGTCGATACATGTTCTTTTAGATGGTATGCAAGGCTCATTAATGTTAGTGAATTACACAAATGCACCTAGAAAATGAGAATATATATCTCTCAGGCTGTGATCCAGCAAATCTTTATGCATGTAATTACGAAGGACTTAGTTGCATGCTTAGACAACCACATGCATAAGCAATTACAAGCTTAGGACCTAACTCTGCAAGTGGCACACTTATTTGGGAAAATATAGCACTCACTGTCAATGATGGATTTTTTTTTTCTTTCCCTGCTTCTTATGTGGCATCTCTTTTCCTGGAGGTTTGCAACCATGGTAGCCCATTCTGTACAATGATCTGCTAATCTCTTTGTGAATGAATAATCCCTTTTATCCACCCAGGATACCACATCATTCGTCCAAGATCTTTTTTTGCCTTATGTTTTTCTGCCATCAACTTGCCCTTCCACTGCCCATAAACACGCATTGCCGGCTGAACCTCTTAAAATATGCCCTGCAAATCAAATAATTCTTTTCTTAAGATTTCTGACTATTGTTTGCTGAGTTCCAATCATGTCCCGTGCTTTTTTGTTGGTTACTCAGTCAATCCATGATATTTTCAGAATTCTTCTAGAACAACATAAATCAAAGGACTGTAATATCTTTATTACTGATTGTTCGAATGTCTATATTTTCCACAGCTGTAATATGACACAGACCCAATGTAAGTTTTTAAGAGTTAGGAACTTACGTCTTTAGTCTATTTAACTAATCAATCAAACAGATTCATGAAAGAAATATCTGAGCATGTTGAATAAAAATGCATTCAACAAGTAACACTGAAATTAAATATTCTGTCAAATATTTTAATGAAATTAAAAATTCAACAGTTATGACATTTTATTTTTCAGAATTACACAAGGTCTCAGTTGATGAACCTGTACAACTGGAAATATTACCATTACAATGTCAATCCTGTTGCCATTAAAGTCCATGGCCTAAACCCAGTTCTTCCCCCACTAAGGACAGTGCAAGTCGAACCACTAATACAGTGGTTCTCAAAGCCGGTCCGCCGTTTGTTCAGGGAAATCCCTTGGTGGGCCGGGCTGGTTTGTTTACCTGCTGCATCCGCAGGTTCATCCGATCGCGGCTCCCACTGGCCGTGGTTCGCCGCTCCAGGCCAACGGGGGCTGCAGGAAGGGCGGCCAGCACATCCCCCGGCCCATGCCGCTTCCCGCAGCTCCTGTTGGCCTGGAGCGGCAAACCGCGGCCAGTAGGAGCCCTGATCAGCCGAACCTGCGGACACGGCAGATAAACAAACCGGCCCGGCCCGCCAGGGGCTTTCCCTGAACAAGCAGCAGACTGGCTTTGAGAACCACTGCACTAATAGACTAGGACTATGTCATTGGAGAGGAATTAATCCAGAAACAGAAGAGAAAAGCACAAGCTTTTATGGAGCAGTGAAGAGAATGAGTCCCGCTCCTCTCAGTCCTTAATTGGTAATGCTAGCGAGTTGCTAGGTCTCAATCTCTCTTTCTTACCTTGGCCAAAAACAATGCCATACTCTTACAAGTATTTATACTCTCAGCACATAATTTTAGAAGCTAATATTTCAGGTTTAAGGAGCAAGCATTACTCTAGAGTTTTTCTACAGAAAGCTGGGACTGAAGATACAAAATGATTTTTGATGAATAAATAATTAATATCTGGCAACAGCATCTTTTATCTGTCATTTTGTGTCACTGCAAAGTCTTTAACTGATGGAGTCAGCACTCTTAACAAACTCCTGTTTTCTTTCAATTTTGTATGTTTTTGTTAGTGGATTATAGTTAGAGCTGCATAAATAATTGATGTTTCAGTTTGCTGGCATATCTGAAAAATCTCAAAAAAAATTATTTTAGGTCAAGTGAAACGCTTTCAATTTTGAGCATTTAACTATGTTTAAAAAAAAATCAAAAGGAAACCGAAACGAAGTCATTTTGAATAATATAATCTAAACATAATAAGCACTGGTCCAATATTTAAAGTCAAAGCGATTAAAAATATTCAGAGGACATCAGATGGAGGAAAGAGTGTATTATTGCAAACATAAGCCCTGATTCTGCAACCAGATCTGGGCAGAACCTCATTGGATTCAGTGGGGCTCTCTACATGAACATAGGAGTTCACTGCTTGAATTCAATTGCAGAATCAGGGAATTGGGCCCAATATTACAAACACTATTGGGTCTAGTGGTTGACATAAATGGGATTTTCACTCACAGTTGCAAATACTACACCCAGCACGTTTGCAGGATCAAACCCTTAAGAAATTACAGGTTCTTAGTATCAGACTAACCAATGCTATAGCAAGCTAGACTGAGAATTATGATCAAAACCTAAAGTCCTGGTAACTGTGAGATGAAAACATGCTTGCAAGACATGACAATCTCATACAATGAACAGTCATCATTGCTTGTATTAAAACTTTAACTTACAGCAGTACTGGGATGGAAGAGGGGTATTTAATGTAATGTTCTTGTCTTTCTGGAAGAACGTAAAGGAGTTTCATTGAAACACCGTTTCCAGAATAGGTTATGTTCTTAGAAAAATTGTCTACACTACTATCACCTGAGTTCCTCTAACTAGAAAGCCTTTCAGCTCCCTTTTCAGTATAAATTCTGACTTAAAATCCTCAGCATTTTAATTACGAAGTCAAATATTTTTCACAATTCTAAAAATTGTTTCAAAATGTGCTTCAAAAGGTCAGTGATTTAAATCACAAACATCACTTATTGTTTCAGACTATTTTTTTAAGTTTCAAGAGGCGAAATAAACATTCACATTAATTTTAACTAATATGATCCTGTTTTTCTATTATAATACCTATGCAACTTGATATTGAATAAGATAATGATAAACAAGAACAAACAACTGCTAAGAACCTGAAAGACCTCAAAGGATAATTAGTGCTCAGTAAAGGGATCCTCTCCCATTCTAACATTTGTGAAACAAGTCTCTCAGTGGTGTAGCTCTGTTTGGATTTAGAGTTTGGGGTAGTAAAGAAATTAATTGCTCACTTTCTAATGTTAGTAAAACCAGAATTAAGAGTGGGCTTGGTTCTCATAAAGCTCCTTTCAGTCTCTTTTATTAGATGGCCAGGTTTTCCATCAGCACAATGAGGAAGTGTATATCTCAAAGAGAGATATCCTGCTCAATGTGTGCTGCTAACCCTTTATCACCCAGTGGCTAAATTCACACCTTCTCCCCAGTTTACTTCACTATTCACCCAGCATTTGGACTATAATAACCTAAAAATAGCAAGTACTTTGTCATAAATATAATAAAAAATAATATTGTAATAGGCTGACAGTGTTTGCCTGAAACAACCTAACATTAGCAGATGTTGATCCTGCTGGGAAAGGATTAGGTAGGTTTTTCTGACTTGGGCCCCAGTTCAGCAGAGCATTTAAGCACATGCTTAAATCCATCCTTATGTGGTAGGACTTAATTATGGTTTGAGTGCTTTGATGAATAGGGATGGACTGCTGCCCAGTGAGGGAGATGAATAACTACCCCTCTTGGATAAAGGAGAGGTAAGAGTCTGGACGAAGAGGGCCTCTGGCATAGGCAGAGCACTCCCAACAAATGGGCCACAGAAGCAGACAAGTCTGGGGAGCAGATCTGAGCTGAGTTTTGCTACCTTAATGTTGGTTTCTTTGTTAATAGAGCCAAACCCCAGGAATGAGTCTAGTTTGGACTCTAGATAACATCTGGATTGTACTGGTAGAGCAGGCTGGGAAAGCTGCCTACTTGCACATTAGTTTCAGTCCTAGGTTTTGATAGATTTATTCATTTTCTACATATTTTGTTCCAGATTCCCTGCCTCTGATGTATTATATTTCACATCTCATCCCCAAAGATTTCTTCATCCATCTGGTTTAATTTTGGGAGAGGACAGCAGAAACTTGTAGAACATGGAAGCAGAACTCTTTGTTTTGGCTGTTTTGAGGTGGAATCAGCAATGTGGGTTTTTCTTGGGGGGGGGGGGAGAAACTGAGTTCCAAGTCTAATTAGTTTGCTGTGAAATTGCTTGTCTGCATTTTAAGTATTTCTTCAGTGAAACTACATAATTCTCTAACTTTTAAAAAGGGGATGAAAATTCCATATTGGAATAACTGATTTATGCTGACGATGTCATTTCCCAATCCATTTGGACTACATTTAGTTTGTGTATTGTATTTTATAATTTGGTTTCAACATTATTGTAGTATTTTGTGAAAAAAATATTTAAAGGTGTTTTGTTGTTGTTGTTGTTTTTTTGTTTTGTTTTGTTTTTTTTACAGCAACAGCTATCACACCCATACAATGCTGGCATCCTACTGCTGACACAAGGAAATTGGTGATATGGATTGGAAAGAAACAGCATGTATACACTATTGTAGGTAATTTATCTGATCTTATGCCCCCTTCTGCTGGCTGTTCCAAACTGTACCTCAAAAACTGCAATTCCAAATGGGAGTACTTGAGGAGAAAAATTCCAAATCAAATCAAAGTTTTGTTTGTGAAACTTTGACCTAATATCAAACTCTATAAGAAAGAAAGAAAGATGGGAACTGTTTATGAAGAAAAAAATACTATAAACATTATTTTTAGCCAATTTTTACCATAGATCTTATGTTGAGTACTTCAGTTATAAATAAAAATCTTCTATACATTATTTTTGTTTTCATAATAGTTTTTATTGTGTAATACTTTGAGTATTATGGTTTTGCCTCATGTAGACAACCAGTGTGAACAGTAAAGGAGCTTTGATGCTGGATCAGGCCCTAGAAATCAATGGCAAAATTGCCACCGACTTCAGTGAGCACGATTGGGCCTGCAGAGGGCAGACTTGTCTCTGACCTTTGTATAATGAAGGGTTGATAATCTGTCTTTGGTTATTATTATGCGGTATAGCTGAAGCCGTGTCAGTCCCAGACAAGACAAGAGAGACAAGGCGGATGAGGTAATATCTTTTATTGGACCAACTTCTGTTGGCAAGAGAGATAAGCCACCCTATGGCTCAAAAGCTTGTCTCTCTCATCAACAGAAGCTGGTCCAATAAAAGATATTATCTCACCCACTTTGTCTCTTTGGTTATTACAGTAGTTTTTAGATAGCTGACTCCCAATACTACTCTTTCAATCAGGAAATTCTGCATTGGAATTCTGAAGTTCATGGATTTTCTTGTTTTCAGCAATTCTTGACTCGATATTGTCCACTTCCTGTGAGCCATTTGATTATCTATAGCATCTTTGGGGTATAGGTTACACTTCAAACCTGTGATACTCAACTTGTCACATTCTTTACAGGATTGCATAACTTCCTGTGACATCCTGATTACAATATAATGATATAGCAACTGGCCAGGGAGCAACATGGTAATTAAAAACTGAGGGATGGGTTAAATCTCTATTTTCACTGGTAGCAAATTAAGGTAACTGAAAAATGCACATTGAAATACACCACCAAAGAATGTCACTGGGTGGTAGCAACAACGATAGCAGCGGACTTTTCAAAACAGGGAATAGACTTTGAATGTCAGATATTTCCCTGAATACCAACTAATACTAATCATACTGTAACATTTATTAAGCTGTTTTAATATATTAGCTCTCACTTTATAACAAGCTTGCTACAGATTTTTTTGCTTGCTGAATATTTAATTCCTTTAACTCTGAGTGGTGAAGTGACTTCAGATACTGAAAAGTTGAGCACCAATACTCCAAAAGAGGAAAATTAGCACTATATGTCACTGGAGATGATGTGGAGGCGAGTTTGTCACAATTAGATGGGCTTTATTCTTAGATAAAATGATAGCTTTTCAATGTTCGTGGTAGGAAAATTTAGAATAGTTGATTCCACAAAACAAATGCACTGAAGTCTCAGTAACAGCATCAGGATGGGATAGAAGCACTCCCTCCTGAGAGTCAAGATTAACACCAGCTATTCATTTTTGTGACAGAAAAGGGGATAACTCTAAAGATTTATTCAGTAGCATGGGGTCCTGGTCCATTACTAGGGCTCTTAGGTACTACAGTAATACAAATAATAAATAATAATGCACAGACAGAATAAGTCTTCCCCATCTGGTTGAATGTTACTGGTTCTTGCGTTCAGCGGAAAACACTTCTCCTTCCTCCCTATTGGAAAAGGAAACCTGATGCAATTCCCCCCAACCTTTTCTTTTTCAGACTTCTGGCATACATTGGCTTTTTAAGAGCACTCTCCTTTCAAGAGGATCAAAGGATTTCATGTGCTTATTTTGGGTGAGGAAAAGAACTGAGAACCAGAGATCTCGGCTTGAGACTGTTAACATACCAGGAGAAAATACTGCATTTATATAGCAAGTTTATCCGAATTTGTGTTAGATCGGGTCGCGGTATATCAGGTTAGAAGTGTACTAAATTAATAAAGAACCTCATAAATGTAGCCACCTCTGAAGTAGAGGGCAGCAGTGGGTACTAAGTACATGGCAGTGGGTAGAGGCTGGCAATGGGTACTAAGTACATGGCCGAACAATATTCTCATAAACTGCAACCAGCCAGTAGTATGAGCAATATGCTCATGCATACAGTATAAATTAGGAGTAAATCCATTTAAGTTAATGATGTTTCACTGTTGCCACCTCAGCGTAAATAAGATGGAGAATCAGGGCTCACACTGCCTGATCATACTCCCATTGATTGACATTAAAGGCAAAAATTTCATTGGGAGTAGAACTGTGCCCCAAAAACTCACAACAAAAAATAATACTCTTGCTTAATTACAAGCTATTTTCTTCAAATACAGCCGATGCACGAGTTAGAAAGGAAAGATGAAGGGTTATTAACAAGGAGACAAATCCGATTAGTTTTCTTTTCTAAGTGACCTATAACTGAAAAGCAGTTTGACCAATTTCCTCTAGACTTTCTATAAACAATCTCCTTTGCCTTCAGAGAAATATGGCAATATTCAAGCCAAACCATTTTTCCAAGCCAAAGTTACCGGGAGGCTAAAATAGGCTTTATATTGGAAGCTGACCGCTGCCTTAGCTATGGAGAGGTAATTGTCCCTCCCACTTCCCCCCTTAACTATAGTATTCCAATAATAGTCCATTGAAGTGGATGCTTCATTTATGGAGGAAAAAAGCTTAACATATCTTTCATTGCTGATGCCTGAATATATTAAATTGCAATATAAATAAAGTGAAAAAAGGTTACACACTGTAGAGAAAATTATCTGTACCGTATTCCTTCAAACTTTTCTGTTTTGAAATGGCTTGAAACATTTCATATTCCATCTGCCTGAGAAAGACTGACTAAAATTTTACTCATCCACTAAAAGATTGAACTGTCACAAAGTGATGGATAGCTTTTCTATATTCTCTGTAGAGCATCTAAATACCATAGACTCCAAGTGCTCTTGATTAAAGGGCAACATACTCATTTAGTGTCCCATCACTGACTGAGCTTCAAATCACTAACATTCACCTACACTTGTGCTTTCACAAAATACTTGACCAACATGTATAAAATACTAATTACTTTAGTCACTTAGATGGAGGTATAAAATGCCCTAAAGCAAAGCTCTATTAAACTGCATAAGGGTTTGAATTTAAAATAAAAAATGCAGCCAAAGAGAGAATAAGATTTTAATTACATTTCTAGTCCTCAATCTCTCAAAACCTAAAGGAAAAAGAGCCATAAATTTCATGACACAAGAAATCCTTTTTCACTGGTACAGCTTATTTAAAAAATAAAACAAAAAAACCCCCTTGAATTTACTCTTTTTTTTTTTAATTATTAAACTTTCAAACACAGAAACAGACTGACAAGCTTTAATAAAAGCTTTGGTTTCTTCTCAATAGATTTCAGATGTCAAATGTATTTTTCCATTTAAAAACTTTCAAGCACTTTGCTGAACAAAGTTCTTATAACTTACAGATATTTTAAGAAAACACCATTTTCTAGGAGGGAAAAGCCTTAATAAAATGTAATTGGGAAGCAACTGTGGATAGCTTCCCACAATCCCAGGAAAGCTTGATTCAATTTGCATTTGCCACAAACCTCCCTTCAGCTTAAATGACTGCAAAAGATCTCTCACTTTTAGATTTCATTTGGTCGGTTGGGACTATTTCTTGTTTATAACATTTGACAGTTTTCTTTATTACGAAAATTGTAACTCAGAGGCAAATGCAGGAGCTGAGTAGCATACTAAAGAAGCTCTGCAGTTAAAAAACTTGGGACACGTAGAAGAAAAAAGTAAAGTATATGTTACGACATACATTACCAGGAGTAAGACTGAGCCCAGTAGACAGAGAATAGTTAAGGTTCTTTGAAGAAAATATAATTTCTCCTGAATTGTTACATTTAAAAAATAAAAGCATAAGGAGTCATCTTAGTGATTAAAAATTATTCAATTAATAAATTAGGACTAAATATATCTGACTATGTTTCTGTGAACAAAAAAACACATTTCACTATTCTAGTCTAATCAAGGACTTAGAGGCTAAATTCCATAATAAAACTGTTGAAATCTATCATTTTACATACTGCAGTTCTTTTAAGGAAACAAAGTACAGGAAGAAAAGGAGGATCACAAATTGTTGATGTGCCCTCAATGTCGTAACGTTTCTCAGAGGGGATATCAAATAATGGATTGCAACCCAGGAAAGAGAAGAGAGAGAACACTAACTCTAATATCATAGTCCATCTGCCCACTAAAAAGCTTTATGTAAGATAGCAGTAGAGAGATAAGGAAAGAGAAAGCAGAAGAGTATTGATTATTAGGACTGGGTAGAAAACAAAAAAAATCAATGTCATGAAAATCTGAGATTTTGACATTGGTTAGGTCCAATGCAGAATGAAAATGAGACCTGTTGAAATTTTTCATCAAGAGAGCAAGCCACCTCAAAGTAGCTAATAGCCATGGGACTAGGGCACTTACCTGGAATGTGGGAGTCCCTGCTCCAAATTAGGTAGGGAGCCCTAATCACCTAACTATTTGGATATTCTCAGATGGTGCTCATTCTCTCTCTCTCTCCCT